GCTGAAGAGCTTCGGGTCACGTTGGCGAAGGGCTTCGGCAAACAGAATAGTTGTGGGTCCTTGGTTGGAGGTAGCCGATCTTGAAGCATCCGAGGTTCCTTCGCCTGTCGTTGCTGATGGTAGCCGCCGGTTGCGGAGTTCCAGGAGGGCTATGTTGCGCTTTTTGCACTCCCAGGAGACTTGGAAGAGGGAAGTGACGTCAACGATACAGCAAACGCAGATTGGATGTTGACAGAGAAAACAAAATCAACATCCAATCTGCATTTGCTGCGTTGTTGACGTCACTTCCCTCTTCGAAGTCTCCTGGGAGTGCAAAAAGCACAACATAGCCCCCCAGGGTTGGGAATTATACTTGCGAGTGAGGTCCGAGTTGGGGAAGTTCGCACCTCCACCAATTTTAGCAGAAGTCGGATTCAGTGATGGGGGTTTATTATTTACACGGGTATTGTGATGAACACACAACATTTACACGGGTATTGAGAACTCAAGATGACCTTCCGGTATATATTGCCGCTCGCTCCGTCTGCCCTTCCTCTTCCTCTTCTCCCAGGACGGCGCGTCCCCGAAGACTCGTGCCGCTTCTCTTCGTCACAATATTTTTTTTTTTTTTTTTTTTTGCTCTGTAATATCTATTTTATGCCGACGTGTACTTTCGAAACACAAAAGTTAAATAGGGCATACTAAATTATGAAATTTTAGTTCCATTAAACAGTTAAAAAGTAAGAGGTTCATAATCGTCCAGCTACGATGCCCTGGCGTCGTAGTTGGACGAACATGAACTACCGTATTTACTCGGAGAATGAACACACTTTTTTTTTTTAAAAATCAATGCAAAGTTGGGATGGGCGTTTATACGCAAAGTAAAATTTTTGTGTCCATATTTACTCGCATAATGAACGGACCTTTCATTCCGAAAAATCGACTTAACTTCTTATCACTTTGCCTGCGATGAGCGACTCCAAAACCAAACCAAACTGCGATGCGCAAAAAAAAAATGCTCCCCTTCATGACGAAAGTAATCCCTGGAGAAGGGGAACAAGCTCGCTTGCACCTTTGCATTTAATTGCATTATAATTACTCCCCTTCATGATTTTTTTTTTTTTTTTGCCTTTCCCAAGTTGTTTTGTTTGATCATGCCCATGCATTCGCGACCTCTCTGCACCAAGATAAAAAAGTGTATTCATTTCGAGGGCTTCTGGCTTCTCTTTCCAAAGTGCGAGGAGGAGGCCAGGACAGGATGCCTTCATTATGTGCTATTTGCTTAGGCGAGGGCTCCTCCCCTTCGCTTTCTTATCTCCTGGCAGAGTGCGCGACCCCGTAACCAAACTGGGCTGCGCAAAAAAAAAAAAAGGAAAAAGAAGCTCCTCTTTGTTTTTTCTCTTAATTCCGCGGGTTTTTTTTTTTTTTTTTTTTTTTTTTTTTGTTGCCTTTTACAAGTTGTTTCATTTGCTTAGGCGAGGGCTTTTCCCTCGTTGCGCACGGCCCGCGACCCGGTAACCAGACTGCTCTGTGCAAAGAAAAGCTCTTTTTTTTTTCCTCTTAGTTCCGTGTTTTTGTTTTTTGCCGCCTTTCGCAAGCTGTTTCGTTTGCTTAGGCGTTGCTTAGGGAGGGCTTCTCCGCTACTCCTTCCTATCTCCTTGCGCGCGGCGCGCGACCCCCTAACCAAACTGCGCTGTGCAAAAAAGAAAAAAAAAGCTTCTCTTTGTTTTTTCTCTTAGTTCCCAGTTTTTTTTTTTCCACCTGCCTTTCGCAAGCTGTTTCGTTTTCTTAGGCATTGCTTAGGCGAGGGCTTCTCCGCTTATCTTTCTTATCTCCTTCCGCACGGCGGGCAACCCGAGGTCCAGACTGCGCTGTGCAAAAAAAAAAAAAAGGGTCCTCTCCATGTTTTATTTTTCTTGCTTCGGTTGGATCTTTTTTTTATTATTTAACGCCTTTTGCAAGGCATTTGTTCGCCCACGCTGCCCATGCATCCGCGACCTCGCTGCACCAGGGTAGCGTGGGGGAGGGGGTCAAAATTCTGACGTCCGAGTTGGGGGTGCGTTTAATACGCGAGTGAAAAAAAAAGTCCAAATTTCGAGAGCCAACTTGGGGGGTGCGTTCATTGTGGGGGTAAATACAGAACCAGACTTTTTGTCTAGGTCTCTAAGCATAGTAAAAGGTGTGTGTGCTGTTGATATTGAAACTTCACAAACCGTGGCGCCACAGGGTCGCGCTCGCTGTCGAGGCACTCCTTTTGGTTTTGAAATCATGACCATACTACTCTTTGCGGAGAGGGGGACGTTTCTTCTACTTTCTTCTGACTTGTACATATGAGGTATTCTTTGCCCAGAGAAGGTTTCCGCTCTTTCCCTGCCAATGTACTAGCTTCATTGGGACGATTGATGCCCTGCAATATTTACTGTTTCTATAGATGGCAGTTTTGATGAGAGGAAATGCACTAACTGAAGCGATCTTCAGTGAGAATCAGATCTTTCTTAGGATCCCCATCGTTTCTTCAAAACGCGTTTTGTGGAAATATGTTTCGTGGACAACTTTTCATAGACATACATTTCATGGACACACGGTTCGTCGAACCTGTACATTTTGAGGGGACATGCCCCTGCGACGTTTTGTTGAAAACGCATTTCTTCACCAAGCCGCTAAAAGCTAGCGCGCGATTCACTAAGGCGAGCTTAACCAAACCATGCCCCCCTCCCCCCTGTAATCCAGGCAAGACGTAAAAAGTTTGTTACGAAAATAGCAGGGTTGTATCAGACGAAAGGTCTCGGGTTTTTCAATGAAACGAACACAAGAAGCTTTTCAATCAAACGTCGCATGTCGACGAAACAATCTGTAGATGAAACGTCAGTCAACAAACTGAATGCCAACGGGCAAAACTTTAGATCCGGATCCACGGATATCCGCATCCGCAGCTTTTGTCATCCACATCCGATCCACAATCCACCAAACTTTGTCTAACTTTTATCCGCATCCGCCCATTTACTGCGGATATCCGCGGATAATCCGCGAATATGCATTATTACCCATGTGTAATAATAATAATTTACAAATAACTTGTAAAGGGAGATGTAAGTAAATAAATGGCAATGACTTGCAAAAAAATTTTGATTTTGGGTTTTAGGTGTTTTCTCCTACTTGAATCTTCATATTTTATGTATAAAAATAATAAGGACCGGATATCATAGTGGAAATAGTCAAATACGCATTTGAAGAATTCCCGGCAACCCAGAAAGGCAAATATATGAGCTGTTTTCGTGAACATGATCCTTCATGTTGTGATGTCACCCTATCACATTTACTTTGAGAACTAGTCCTAGGTGTCTTCTTTCCATCGCATTTTTCAGTAACTTCAATTTCTCATAAAAGATTAACAGCAAAATTTATTTCTCATGCTGCAAAAGAGTGTTGCTACATACCCAAGCTAAATTCAAACACGTCTTTTCTCTTTTTGTAGTTTTGGGGCATCTTCAGTTTGCATACATATTTTTTCCTTAATATTGTCCTATCCCCGTCAAATTGGGCATGCATTTGGTTTAGGATATGTAGAATTCAACTATCAAGGTTTGGTTAAAATGTATATTTTTATATTTATGAAAACTTAAGATGAAAACTTAAAGAAACTTTTTTTAGCCATTTGAAAATTGTGTTTTCGCAGTATTCAATTATTTTAAAATAAAAGAGGTCTTGCACACATTATTTTTTTGTTCATTGCACTCGACTTAAAAACAGCAAATTAGCCTATTTTAGTAGGCTCTTTTAAGTGTAATGCTATACCCCCCCGTGTGTGCAAAAACATTTTTTTTTTCTTATGTGTGTTGCATTTAGAACATAAAAAAGACAAAACACTGAGTGTGCAGGCGACCTGGTGATAATTAATCATAATTTAACACCCGAGACTGGTGCGGAAAAGCTACCGACACATTCTTCGACTGCTGTCTTTTTCTTTGACTTGAAAGTTTCTTCATTTTCCTGCACCCCAGTCTCAGGTGTAAAATTATTGTTAATAAAAAAAAAAAAGTTATATATAAAAACTAATTCCAGCTTTATAAAAAAAAGAGATCATGCACTATGAACTGCAAACATTTCATTCAGTTATTGCGACTATTTAAAAATAAATGTTTTCCCCAGGAATGAATGTTTCACCCTTAATTAAGGCTTTTATTTAATTTTAATTTCATAGTTCTAGAATTCCAAAGAATGCATCCTGTTCCTCTAATAATTGAAAAGTAATATGAATTTATAGAGTTCTAAACATGTGGCGAGGAGAGCAAGCTATAGGGTACGCATTATCCAGCTTGTTTTCTACAGAGCTCTCTGTTTACCGAACAGGAGGCCACTGGACTGGAATAGTGTCATCGGCATCGATTGAGCCCAGGGCATAGATTTGACACCAGCACTGTGTCAGTGTCCGGCTGGAACTCGGGTTCAATTGGTGCATCGCTGGTTGAACACAGACCCCAGCTGAATGCTGACGTGGCGTTTGGCTACGTCAGGTGAGCACTCCGTCGGAAACGCCAACAAATAATTTATGTCGCTGCTGTTCCCAGGGATGGAGTTCTCAAATTAGCCACTAGGGGTGCGATGGATGGCTGGCTGAATGACCTCTGAAGACCCGCCTTAATTTTCAAAATATGCAGGCGACAGAGATGAAACCCCCGGGCTGCTAGGGCAAACATTTATTTCGGCCGAACACAATTTATATTCTAGTACACTTTAATGCATACGAAATTCTAATATCTGGATGAATAACCAAGTACCGAAATTGGTTATCATAATACCAGGTTTTCAAGTTAAAATAATTTGCCAATTCGAATAACCGGATATCTCCAAAACTGGTCTGTACTACTTAAAAACTTTCTTTTGCAGAATCTGCAGATTCAGTGCCAAACTAAAAAAAAAAAATAAAAAGTTGTCTCGTCAATTGTCAGCTTCTGCGTGTCATTATCTGATAAAAAAAATATATTCCCTTAACAATTCTGCTTTCTAAGCTTTTTGCATACCTCGTAATGTCAGGAGCCATGTCTTTCAGAATGTTTGCCTGCGCCTTGTCCGTATCCGCTGTGAAATCCCGACCATTCAGCATCACAACAGGTTTCCTCTGCATGCTGGAAATACAAACGCATCTTAACCCCCTCTACCAAGTTCCTTAGGAGCCATGTCAGCACACCTCTCAGGGTCGATAGTGACGTCCTTTTGGAAGCTAAATTCAGCATTTCGTCCGCAAGTTGCCACATTGCATCTTTCCAACATAACCACGGGGCTCTTCTCCGTGCCGCAATACAGGAGCCCCTTGAATTAGTTCTCCGACTTCACCTTCCCTAAACAAAACTTGCTATGGCACACCTGTCCAACTCAGTAAAGGCATCTTACCGAACGTTCAGTTCCGGCTCAATGCCGCAAGCTGCAAGGTCGAGCCTCTCCAGTACAACCACAGGAGTTTTTGATGATACACTGCAACGTGAAGAGATCACGGTTGGCCACACGTTAAAGCTAGACCTGCCTGTCTTGCTCCACACTTCTATCCTTTCTGTCCCCACATTCCTGGCTAGAAAAGTGACGCAAGCTGGAGGTCAGGCCTCCCCAGTACCAGTACAGTATGTCCCTTAACCTGGGGTATTTACTGGACATCACGCAGTACTAACTACACGATTGCAAGCCGGCAAAATGTTCATCCAGACTGAAATGAGCAGGGTGCATATCAAACTCAGGACCCCTAGGATCTGCAGTGCAAGCTTTCACTTTAAATGGACACTAATGCAATTTTTGAAGTGTGTCTCATTTAATAATTACTGCTGCTTACCTGCAAGAGGTACCCCAAACAATATTAACAAAGTTCAAGTCCATATAGCGTAAAATACTGAGCATGCACCCATGTTGCAGTAAGTGCCCTCCCACTGCTTTTGGAACATTTGAAAAAGAAACAGGGAACATATCAAGCACCCACCACAGACTTCCGAGTCCATTTAGTTAACCGAGATATCTTCCATGTCAATCACTTCTCCAAACACGCTGGTGCAAGGTGGTCAGACTTGAATAGTAATTCAATTGCGATAATTGAATTACTGTAATTTAATTACTTTTACATGTACGGTAATTGTAATATATTACTTTTGGTTAAAAGGAATTATAGTTGAATTACTTTGTAGCACCAGTAACAGTAAAATCCCCCCCCCCCACGACCGCGGCGACGACCGTGTATGCATTATAGTAAGACAAAGTATAGTTGAACCTCTCTGAAAGCCTTAGTGCTCGCACAAGCAGCCTAGAGCTTAATGACACTCGCACATACAGACAAGGTTGCGTTCGTTGTTTTGCTGCTTACACTGCGAGGCGCTGTCTGCAGTGCGAGCAGAAAACAGTAACATAAACATGCCAAAATACTGGGGGAAAAAGTGTGAGCTTCTAGCTTTCAGCCAAGGTTGGGAATTTTTATTGTCTATGAATTATTTTTCTTTCCTCGCCAGTTTACAATAACATGAAACGTTTGTGGGCGAATGTGGTCATATCAGTGCGAGTGGACTGTGGTTTTACATTAACAGTGTTAAAATATTCAGCTATGACTAATTGTCACGTTTTAATTTGCCTGGCTAACAAGAGTCTGTAATCCGAATTTTACTTTAGTATATGATCTCATTTATTATTTTTTATTGAAAATATAAGAATGCAGGACTTCATTACTCTAAACTGTCAAGTTTTATCATTCATTTAATAAAATTCATAAAAGGAAAGTACAATATGTGACATTTATACAGCAATGCCTCATCAAACATTGGGGCAAGGAATGAACAAAAGTGTTGTATTCTAAACAACTTGTTTAAAGTTACATGGCCCAAGTTGGGTTGCTCTCAGAAATAAGTAATTGTAAAGTAAATGCATTATTTAAATTACTTTTCACGTAGTAGTAATTGTAGTTAAAGGCCAACGTACAAAGTCACTCTTCTGCAGGGAAGATAATCATCTTAGCTCTTCCCTCTCCTAAGCTGCGAGGGGAGCCAAGTTAGGGCAGAGTAAAAAGTGGAGAGGACATGTAAAAGGAGGAGGCGGGCAAATGTGGTAAGCGCAAAGTGTACGTCGGCCTTTGAACTACTTTATGAGCAGGCAAAGTAATTGTATTTAGACTACATTGTGGAAGTAATTTACCCATGTATGATGGTGATGAGGCATGTAGCACGCACACTGATGTAAAGCAGTGAAGCTTGACATGCTTGCGTCGGTGCAAAGCATGTGATTAAAATCGAAGTCTGGCCGGCGCTATACTTTGTTTATAATCACCCATAATCATCTTTGGTTATAATTATTGGTTATAATAAGCGACCAGTGTCCTCTTTTTGTTGCTTGTGTAGCCTAAACCGGACCATGACTAAAACCGGCGTGGCCATGAGGTGTGCTGTTTGTGAGCAGTCCATGTACTGAACAGTTTTCTCTATCATGCAACACCTGCCTCTAACCAACAAATGCTTGTTATAAAAGCACCTTTTACTGCCATCTCCCACTCACTTTTCGTGCAAGATGGCAACTGTCACCGAAACTCCATTACCATGGCCCGGGCTAAGTACTATGTTTGAACTGAGGGAAACAAAGTCAGAAAATTTGCTGTTTAAATGTCTACTCTGTATGCCAAACTCAATTTGCTGAGCACACCCGGGATGTCGAACTCTAATTTGAAAAAGCACATTAAGGTGAGTCATCTTTCAATGTCACTTTTTTTTCCATTAAAATGTCATGGTTAAGTTTTGTTAGCCAAAAGAATGCATCTTTCTTTCGAGACTGTTTTGCTAGTCACATAGCTTTTCAGCTACATCTCACAATGCTCATTAATGTAAGCTAGCAAAAACTCTTCAAGACGGCTTAATTTAGTTTTACTTGTATATTTCAGAAGGAGAGTAAATCAATCATGGCAGTTATATATAAACACACATATTTGATATTTGTTTAAGTTTTAGACAGTTTTTTGAAACATTAACTAAATAAACTGCATCACAAATTATAATTTGTGATGCAGTTTATTTAGTTAATGTTTCATTGTACCACACCACTGATAACTAGAATTCACAATGGTGCTTCGCATCAGTGCTAATTTTTTTCTTTTCTGCCAGTCCCTCCATTCGCACAAGCTGTCAGAATTCGAGGTGCTTTCAAAGAAACGAAAAACCAAGACTACAACCCACTGTCCCGACGCACCCTTGCAGAAGTAGATAAAGTTTGACCGTATGCATCAAGTTCCCGTTTTTCAAGAACGGTTCGACAATCTTGTGGAGAGGTTTGTGGTTGAGACGCTACAGTCATATAATAACAGTCACATACTAACAGCTGCCATATACCAACAGTGAAACACAAAATAACGACACCGGTATTTTGTTACATTTGTAACATGGTAGCCGAGCTCTGCAACGCATTAATTTTTTTCAAAGCTAACGAGTAACATTATTTCATTACCTATTTTCGGTAACGGGCACAACACTGGTGGAGAGAAAAGTCATAGGTTACAAACGTCTGTGATTCATTCATTCTAAGCGGTATTTGCACAGAGTAGGAAAGTCATAGCACCACCCCTTTAAAAGGAGGAGGAGTCGTTTCTGCTCACCACATTGAGTCTATAGTCCCATCTTTCTGAAAGTTGCGTTCAGTGTCTTGTCGACAAGTTGCCATGTTGAGCCTCTCCAACAGAACCACGGGTGTCTTCCAGATGCTGCGATACAGGAGCCCCTCGATTAGTTCCCCCACACTTGTTCAACTTCTCTTAGGCAGAACTTGTTACTGCACACCTGTCCAAGTCAGTAAAGGCATCTCGTCTGACTTTTGGATTCGGCTCATTGTCGAAAGCTGGAAGGTCAAGCCTGTCCAGTACAACCACAGGAGTCCTTGATAGCACACTGAAACAGGGAGAGATCACTGTTGGCCCCATGTTAAAGCTAGACCTGCACATCTTACTCTCCACATTCTTGGAGATGGAAAGGATTTTATCCTTTCCATCTCCACATTCTTGGCTAGAAAGACAATGAAGCTTGTTAAACTAGGGTCCTACTTGTCTGCTTCTGTGGGAAGAAGCGTAACCCTCCCTGCCAGCACCAGAGCCTTTCTGGCAGTACTCAGCCACTACTTGTAAGGCAACAATGAGCTAGATAAACATAAATGGAGTTTATAGTACCCATTAATTACATCCTGGTATGATGTTATGCTCTCACAATAATCAGGCCCTAAGGTAAAAAAAAAATAGATAAGAAATACAAATCAGCAGGTTGTGAGCAGCCATAAGTGACCGTGTACAATATATAATCAATTCACAATAAGATCACTTCTAGACTTTAAAAAAAAAAATACATCAGTACGTGGTTCATACCCAAGTGCTGAACTACCAAGTGCATGCTGGCGGCAGGCTTCAGCAGTGGTCACCTCCATGGCCTTCCCATCCAACCTAGGGACTTTTTGCTCAATAGGAGCAATCACTGTTAAAAGACCAGAGAGAGATCAGTGAACGAAAGGCTGTTGTAAGGGTCATTGATGATCAAATCAAATCAAATTTGGGGACTTTGCATCGCAAACCAACGAAGCTATGGCATCTCGTACGCCCCAGCGGAGGATTGATGATTAATTTAGGTCACCCGAGGATCTTTTGACGTAAAATCGAAAGCCGTCAGATTGTAAGCACGTCGGCCGAGAGCTTCGAGGCAATGATCCCGACCACCGTGCCGGGATCACGTCGGCCGGGAGCATTGCCTCAGTGCATTGATGAAACCAGCAGTAATGTAATAGACGACGTACTGCTACTGCTATTACCATTTCGCATTTGTTGACAATGTTTACAGATCAGAAGGGATCACAGTCGCTACAAAATTCTGTTTTGAACTTTCAACGCTGTCACTTCAACAAAGTCCGAAACATATCGGTAAGCAAAGCACGGCCGGTAGTCAAATGCCAAACCGGAACCTGACAAAAATATACCCTGCTTCCATGGCAGTACCAGAGGAGTGCAACTCCCTATACCGCCCATGGAACGCAAATTGGAAAACCCTGGGAGGCCGCAGCGCCATTTGAATCCCCTGGTATCTGGTGGCTGTACTAAAATCAACATGGCGGCACAGCGAAACCAAAACCGAAACTACACGGCAGCGCCATTGTGTTCGGATGGATGGGCGGTAGCTTGCGCCACCTAGAGTTATAAATATATATATTGTAGCTTTTTTTTTTTTTGCTCGGTTTGCGCGTTGCTTTGCTAGGCTTCTGCTGCTTTGCGGCTGGTTTTCGCATTTCAATGCTGGTTAATGTGCGTTGAAACGCACACAAGCCAGCACTGAAAAGCGAGACCAGCAGCAAAGCAGCGGAAACCTAGCAAAGCAACGAAAGTGACACATACACAAAAAATATGCAATGCTTGTCCTTTTGCGTTCATTTTTATTCAACAGACAGTAGAAAATACAGACGAAATTTCTCACTGTTTTGCACACGAGAAACAAAGAAATGAACAACAAAACAGGATAAAACGTTAAGGTTACGTGCGACGAAGGTGATGATATGCGTCCTTGCAAATTTGATTATATAAGTAAGCATATAAGTAAAGACCGACGACGGTGTCTTAATTGCAACTAAAGGAATCTAAGCAATGAATATCAAGAAAAACAGCTCAGCTCTTTGGTATTGAGTCTTCATCGAGAACCTGCCCATTCGTTTTTAATATTATCACTTAAATTTAGGAGTGAGTCACTGCTAAACGAAACGGGAAACCAGAGCGGATCGCTCTATCGCTCATCCTCAGTTAATCGAAAAATATTTAGGCTCATATTTTCACTCCTCGCGAACAGACGCGTTAATCGCTGACAACAGTGCCAAATAAACAGCTCACAGCAAAAAGTTTGCCATCTTTTAAAGTGAGCATATGTGCTCGATTTTGGTATGAAAAAGTCTACACAGAAGTCTCCAGTAATTTGACAATGACATATTTCTCGCGGCGAGTGAAGAGCAATCCTGAACAATGATAGGATTTGGTTTTGTGATTGAAAACCATTGTAGCTATTGCTAAAATCACACAATTAAAACTCACTACCACTGCGACAGTTAGGTTTTGTTGCAAACATCTAATCAGAAACTTAAGCAAGAGAAGACCCAAAGAGCGTACCGCACGTCCATTCGAACTCGAAACAATTGATATCCCGGCTTTCGGCAGTCATTGTTTCCCCACTTGGCACATCAGGTGGTGTGTTGATGACGAAAATCCATGCTTGACCACATTACACCAACAACAAGTTCCCACGAAAAAGAAAAGATAGCCGCGCGCGCACGAACGCGGGACGAATCTCGCGCCGCGACGCACTCCCAGAAGCGAAACAACTCGCCGGCTCGCGTCCCTCGCGCGTTGTAACGGTCCACCGACTTCCCGGCGCCAGCGGCCAGCGCATCTCGAGGCGAGAGGCGCGGGTTCAGAGAGAGAGAAAGCGCGCCCAGACTTGCCCAGACACGTTGAAAGAGTGAAAGAGAAAGTTACAATAACAAGCTTCAAAGCCATTCACACCTTCAAAACAACTTCACTTTTCTTTCGCATCATTAAATATATGAATCAATTTTATTTAAAATTAAATAACAAGTGCCAACAGCCGCTGGGAGCGCGGCAATCGGAAGCAGTTCGCCGGACCGGACAAACGTCATAAGTATACGCGGCGGGACGGAAGTAGCCGGGAGCTTCACCCCACTGGCAGTACTGTCTCGGAATCTTTGTTGGGACCCAAGTGACAGAGTTCCCGCCGATGGTTCCGGTATTTGTTTTTTTTAAAAGATGGCAAGACGCCAAGATGCTCAGGTAGGACTGAAGACGCCAATACTTGATAGTCAACACGGTCAAAGCTGTGGCATATGGCCAAAATGGCTGTGGCCAAGGCAACTGTGACAACAGTGATACAGTGATCAACTGTCCGCTTCAGACGGAACAAGCGAAGACGTTTGAAGCGGCTGCAGCCAATCAGGGACGCGATATTTTCACGTGACATTCCTGTGGTGGTGATGATGACAGCTAAAGACTTGGTTCTGGTTTGAAATAGATCGTTTTTGGAAATAAACCTTTTCAAAAATGTGAGTTAATATTCTCAACATCATTCAAAGATATAAAAACACGTTTCTAGCGCAACTGGTTGCTAGCAACGTTAGTACCAAATCCCAAAAAGATGACAAATGAACAGTTAAAATAAAACAAAATTTAAAGACAATAAAGAGAGACAAATATTTAAAATAATCGTAATAAGGTATTATAAATTTGAAAATTTAAACGTCAAGTGATGATCTGCCATCATCAGCATCATCGCTGCGGCATGCAAAAACAAAACCAAAACGAAAGTTAATTCGGTTATGGTGTGTTATTATTTTGGGCGTATCTAGCTCCCGTTTATTTGCTTCTGTTCCGGCTCAGTTGTCGCAGAAATGGACAAGATAGAGAGTGTCATTCATGACACGCTGAAGGGTCAGGCCGTCACGGATGAATCCGCAAATATAATCGACTACAGCCTCGCCGATCAAGTCGAAGAACTTGGTGAGTTGGCTTTTGGGTAACACAACTTTGAGGCGCATTTGATGTAATTCGGCGTCTCAATTAAATGGTGGCCACGCGCGGCGAGGGAATTGTAGTTTCTTAAATATTTACGCTCGCGGAAATCTCGATAATTCCGCTTCCACGTAGCTGTGTTGACAATTGCGCAACAGCTCGCAGGAATGTAGCGTGCGTGGAGGCCTGTCAATCGAAAGGCATTTGTGTCAGTGTTCCGGTCATCCCGGTCTCGAGTCGTGCGTAATGAATCCGTGTCATCTGGTGTTCTGTCGTCGCAGCCGCCAAGGGTGTGGAATCTGCCGTGTTGCCGGACTACAAGCCAGTTGTCAAAAAATCGGTCACGTATATCGTGGCCGCCGTGGTCGTGAACGAAAGAGGAGATGTGCTCATGATGCAAGAAGCCAAGAGCTCGTGTGCTGGCACATGGTATCTTCCAGCCGGCAGGATGGAGCCAGGCGAAGACATCGTCGTAAGCATTGTTGTGTCGGCGTCGCGTTGGCGGCGGTGGAATCCTTTCAAGTGACGCAACTCGCATTCCAGGACGCCGTGAAGAGAGAAGTGAACGAGGAAACGGGTCTGGATTTCGAGCCTTCCACGCTGCTCATGGTCGAGACGGCACAGGGACAGTGGTACCGGTTCGTCTTCGTTGGAACGATTGTGGGCAAGTTTCACAACATGGCCTACTTGCCTTACGTGCAAGTTGACTTGTAGAAGACAAGATATTATTTCTGTTGTTGTTTGTTGACAAACAACAACCAAAATAATCTCGATCTTGTCTTCTACAAGATCGTCTCCAATTGCCACTGAAAATGAGGGCAAGAAACTCTAAGCAAGAAAGGACAGACTAACTGGTAATCCCTATGCATCACAGTCCAAAAATAATGGCTCTGGCTGTTGCAAAGAATTTGGATATAGGTTTCAGACAGAGTTTAGAATAAGCCTTATGTAGCCAAAGGGTGTTTTATACTGATGGTGATATTCTCCTTGTGATTCACAGGAGGAGAGCTGAAGACGGTAGCCAAAGCAGACTCGGAGTCTCTCCAGGCAAGCTGGGTGGAGGATGTGCAAGAGCTCAGCCTGCGCTGCAAGGACATCCTCCCTGTCATCGAGCGTGCTCGGCTCTACCACAGCACGGCCGGTAGTCAGCCCTGGCATCCCGCCGTGCTGCCCGCACTCCAGGCACACCAGAAGCTCCACCTACGGATTGTCACCATCATCCGGAAGAAGGCCAAGTCAGTGGTCTTTCTGTCCCTCTGCCTTTCCCTAGCTAGTTTTGCTTCCATGAAAACAAAGAAAAACAAAAAAACTACCTGTATGCAATGTAATCTCCTTCCAGCAGTTTCACAAGCCACCACTAAAATATTAACCATATGGGAAGGCAAATTAGTTATTTACACAGTGAACATTCGAGTTAGTTTTAAACAAGTAAAATTGATTTTATGATGCAATTAAATTAATAAAACATGCACCCATAACTTTCTAGGCCATTGCCCTACTGAAAACTCATCTCAAGAAATGTGATTATTTTGGATTATGACTACTTGTATCACCATTGCACAACACAAGCTCATTTTTGCTTTGTTCATTTTGCATCAGAGTAATTGGGTATTTTAGGCAACTCTTATGCCTTGACTATAAAGCTTTAATAAAGCAAGTATCACGGCCACATCCTTTTTCAAATTTCGGAGGAATACCTTAGTAATAATGTTTCATATACATGCCAGCACCTTAGGAAGCCTCTCACGTCTAAGCTACACATCAGATGAGTGTGCTATATCTTGGCGACATATTCTCAAGGAGCAACCCAAAAAAGTAGCAAATGTGCATTGTTTGCAATACTTGGGAATAGTTATGCACATGCTTTGTGTGTGAAACCTATATATTCTTTGTTGGTACAACCACATGCAGCAACCTGCTTCATGTCTTGGTGTCCGAGAAAGGAATGGCCCACCTTCCAACATGCGAGATAAACCCATCCCGCAGTATCCACACAGCACTAAAGCGCTTCATCCAGGTCTGTATTACCCAACGATTTAAGGAACATTCACTACGTCTTTTTTGTAGACTTTCTCTTCTCATAGATTTTTTTAAAGTAGCCACTTTCACAGTTTCATTCAGCAGAAAAATCTAGCACTAATCAACTGCTAAATCCTGGGAACTTGGCACTATATATACAGGGTGTTTGATTTTAATTTAAACAGATTCTTTTAAGAAAAAGTGTGGGAGCTGCATGGTACCGTTTTCACCATGTATTTATCAGGCTCGGCAGACATTAGATTAAAGGCTGACGTACACTTTGCGCTGTAGGAAATCGCGTACCGCTGCCGATTCGCCATTTTCCACATGATCCGTCAACAAACCGAGTCCAGCCTGGTTCTTTCACGGGAGCGGGATTCTGCTCCGCGTTTTTCGGTACATAAAACACAACGCTACAAAACACTCAATCTAAACATAACATTACACAAATATCTACAAACGCACGTTAAGCCCAAAGCTAAACACAAAGAGGGCCCCCAGGCCTCGTGTCTTGCGATTACCTTAGATCCAGTCGCCACACACTTGCCTGGGTTCGGTAGCCTCCCGGAGTCCTAAGAGACTCTTCGCCCCCTGTCTACCGAATATATCTCGATCGATGGGCGAGGAGGTTTTTCCTCACCCACCATGGGGCGCCTGCAGCGCCATCCAGTGGCTAGGAGAGAAAGCGGCACGTCGGGAACCGAATTCGAGATCCCGATCGACCCCGCGGCGACACAACCATGTGATCATGTCTGAGGCGAGGCAACAGCATAGCTGCTTTGCGGCCAAGATGGCAGAGTGGTTTCATTGGCGTCCTCATGAATGCACGGTGCGCCATACTCCCCTCTCCTAAAAATCGAAGTACGCTGGAATTTAGACGTACGGCTAGGCTGCTAGGGAACACCGTCGCTTTGTTTGGCCTGCGAGTCCAGCCTGGTTCTTTCACAGGAGCGGGATTCCGCTCCCCGTTTATTAGTACATAAAGCACCGCTACAAAACACTCAATCTAAACTACAAATACACGCAACATTACACAAATATTTACAAACGCACGTTAAGCCCCAAAGCTAAACACAAAGAAGGGCCCCCGGGCCTCGTGTCCCGCGATTACCCTAGATTTGGTCGCCACACACTTGCCTGGGTTCGGTAGCCTTTTGGAGTCCTAAGAGACTCTTCGCCCCCGTCTACCGAGTATATCTCAATTAATGGGCGAGGAGTTTTCTCCTCGCCCGCCATGGGGCGCCTGCAGCGCCATCCAGTGGCGTTGGTGTGGGATGCTATACTTCGTTTCACTTTAACTTGGCAAAGAGCTAACGCTATGGGCCCTAGCGCTTGATCAAATCGGAGCAACAGAAGCGAAGCATGTGATGGTCCTTACCAAAGGCACAGGGACAAGAGTTTAACCCAAGCCACTAGAAGAGTGGGAACTCCCTTCTTACCCGGACCCCCTTTTGTGTCTCAGACGTAGCCTTTCTTCCTTTAGGAGCTTAACCTGCCACTCGAAATTCATACAGCAGATGCTTTCCTTTCTTTCCCGCCCGTGGCTTCGGCGGCACTAGCCTGCCTCTGACGCGTTGATTAGATAGAAGGGGCCATAGAGTTTGCTCTTTGCCAAATTATGGTGGTATAGCCATTTTGCGCACCTCGATCATTATCTCGGCAGCGTGTCCTTGGCAAATGCGATTATGCGTTCAGTTTTTGAAATTGTTTGACTCATAAATGAATACGATTTATTTAGAAGAATATTTGAATCGGCCTTTGATCGTAACTGCCGTCAATTCTTAAATTGGAATGTGACCCATGAAACCAATAACTAAGAAGCTTATTAACGGATCTTGGTTAATTAGCCAACTAACCATGACAGTTACAACTTCACCCAATATGTCAGTTGAGCCTGATAAATACATAACAAAGACTGCACGTGCCCATGTGGCTATTACCTTTTGTTTTAAACAAAAATTTGTTTGAATTAAAATTAAACATCCTGTGCAAGGTTTAGACTTGAATCCGAAAACTATTTCTAGATCATTTACAGAAGTTGTGCATAATGTTGGCCTTTGAGGGAGTCCTCTTCACAATATGATTCATCAGCAGTGTACATGCATTTCCAGCAAAGTCCAACGTACTACCTTATTCAGTGCCCACTCTGGTCAAAAGTCAAACCAAGATAAATGACAGATATCGATTTACGAGACTAAATACGAGCGCTTACAAAATATTATGCTATTGGGAAATCGCGATCCCCTTTAAAATCAATATTAAAAATGCTACCACCAGCTTCTCAGTGGGCGTTCAACAAGTTGGCTGTTTGTCAAGCAACCTTGTGCTCTGATGTCATCTTCGTACTCAAGGTTACTTGTTCGTATAGCCACTTCTTTCGTGGTGTTTTTCTGCTGGATTTTCAGCCGTCCCAGAGGATGATTTCTGCTTATGTTGTGTTTTAGCAGCCGCAGTTTGTAAGTGCTTCTCGACGGTCACACACAAAGATTATTGAGTCCCTGCCCGCTCAAGCGCATCATGGTGCCAAAGGTACAGTGTTCTAGAGAGGAGTAGTGAGTCTAGATGTTGGCCGTAGAGGTTACTCTTTAGAGGGCGCCACCACCGCCTTCCCCTGAAGCTCTCCTGCCCCGCCGGTACTGCTCCGTTGCTATGCGAAGCTCTATGCGACACGACCGCCGATTTCCGAAATCATATGACGAGCCCTGAATTGGCGCAATGCCTAGATAAAAGTTTCCTAGCATGCTTTCCATAAGACAAGCACAGTCCTTTATTGCTGTCCATAAACCGTATTCCTTTCCAAGTGCAAGTTATTTCATCATCGCCCAAAATCGTACACAATTCCCGTGTTGCTACCAGAATCGTTTTTTTTTTTTTTTTTTTGGAACAGCATTTAATGCTTTTTTTTTTATTAAGATGCCTTTGTACTCTTTGGGACCACTAGCAGTAACCAGTTTAGTCAGCCTGCAGCACAGCCATGGACTTCTCCTTTCGTTCCCCTTCCAACGATATGACACAGACGTGATATTTCCCTTCTCAACCTGGAAAGATGAATCGTTCAGGTCACTCAATCTGTCTAAACAACCTTAAAAAAAAGTGGTCCTATCTTCTGGGGTAGAGATCAAAACAGGCACGTTTGCATTGCGAAAGTGCTTTATATATATATATATATATAAACGAGGGAATTTATGTGTGCGTCTTACTTTACCGGAGACATACTCGTTGGTACAGTTTATTTAAGTTATATCTAATTGTAGTAAGAAAAAAATTACGGGGGTTCAGCCAATAGCAGGAATATATTAGCTCGGTTATTCTTCGGGCATGTTTCCTTTTCGGGCATTTGTGTGCCCTTTTTCTGTCTAAGTGGTGTGGTGAACCTTGGACTAGTGCCCATAAACACTCTGGGCTAATTGGCACATATTTCTTTTTTCCTACCTTTTTGCCGGAATGTGTATCTACTCGCGTTTTCTGGTCAGTAAACCCCCAGCTGTGTTTGCCTTGCCCGTTTTTGTTTTAATTCCCCATCTCAGGCTTCATAATTGTGTATGTGCAAAATGTTTGCACTGTCAAAAAGCGGATGTTCCTTAAAGGGACACTGACAGGGCATGTATGCTCGCCGAGGTTTTTAGTTGTACGTGGCATATGAGAGCCCGACTACCCAAAACAGAATTTGCAGCTCAAAATTCGGTTTCTTTGCGCCCGAAAGCTGCCGATCGAGAACTGTCCGGTTTGAGTCGCGCTCACTCTCTTTTCCATGGTCACGGGCCGTTTTCTGAGGTTTAGACACAACCACCGAATATAATCAAAGTCGTAGGTTATCAAAGGCACGCACACAGTATTAAAAATAGAAAAGAAATATGATGCCCATTTTTTGGGGCTTCTAAAAGGCTGTAAATACATTGTTTGGGGGAAAACAAGTATCACAGCCGCGTGACTTCCGCAAACCCCTCTCCTCCTCTATATTTCTTCTTCCCCAGTCCAGTTTCAGTTTCGGTTTCGAGCATTTGCGTTTTTTCTACTTTATTAAACAATATAAGTGTCGCTGTAGCAAAATATTGATTGGGTAGTCTTCTGACACCATAATAAATCGCCTGACAAAAAAATAAAAAAAATAAAATTTTGGGGGGCTAGCTCTGAGCAACCGCAACACACTGGCAGTTCACGACCAGCGAGCTTGTTCAGGGGAAGTTGAGTACGGCGCCACCGCTATCCTCCGCTTTTTTCCACATTTGCGGGTCTCCTCACCCGGACTGGTTTTGCGGCCGAGGGGACCAACTACCCCTCTCTAGGCAACTGTATCGAAGGTGGCATTCACTGGCGGCTATAGTTTAGTCCCTTCCTGCTTAGCACAAGCTTACGATTAGCTTCCGCAACGCTTCTGCAACATGCATTGCACACCACCAAGGTTATAGTTCTCATTAGATAAGTGGTGGCTCGTTCTTAGCCTGCATTCATCGTGCCATACTCACTTTTCGGCCAGAAACTTTATGAATGTGTATTAATATTTGCTACAGACGTTTGATATTTACGAAGCAAAGCAGTAAAACAGCTGTATCATCTTACCCAACTGATTGGAACTGCTCTTGCGACTAAGTCAGTCGTTCGTTTTGCAGTATCACGCTACCAACTTTGCATCACACAATGGCATGCAGCTAATCACAAGAGCACCTTCATACTTGAGCAGGTAGCTTCGGTTTCACCGTAGACCCCCCCGAGACAAAACTTTCAGATAAGATATCTACAAAACTATACGAGGCATTGAAACAAGAATAACACCTCGTAATTCAACGACACACCCTTCACAAAAACGGTCGTAACTCTAAAATCGAGAAAATGTACTGGAGTTACCCTTCTGATTATTATTGCCAGTATGAAAATTAACTCTTTTTTCCACCCGCCTGGAGTTGTATGGTGTGCCACATCCAACAGATGAAAAAAAGTATGTCACCGAGACTGTCGCTTTGTTTTGCGCATCCGCAGAGCATCTTCAGTTCCGAACCTCCCCCTCACAAGCCCCTGGGAGTACTTTCTCTGGAGCACAGCGGACGGGGAGAAGAGGACGGGCTCTGCATCAGTCTGCTTGTCTCGTGCAAGGCAGCCCTTGAGGAGGTGACCTTGACGCCGGGCTACACTTGGCTGGAAGTCAGCTCTCCGCTCTCGGACAAGCTGCTCTCTCGCACCAACCGCAACATGACGGTCTTTCTCAAGGTCCAGTGAGTCCGCACTCAGTCGAAGACGTCATTGACACAGGGGGAGCGCACGGACACCATAAAACTTGGGATCCAGTGTATATCTAATACAAGCAAGTTCCGAGAATCCTTGCAACTATAGTTGCTCACAGGATGAGAACGGAAGAATTTCAGTCCTCCAGCGCGAGCTTTCAACTTCCAATAACGCTTGACCATCTCATGAGCCTCAAACATGCATGTGCAGCAAAAGCACGGCAGTAGGCGTGGAGTGCACGCTGGGGGCGTTTGGAAGACACGCCCAGACGTTCCCACCTTGTAACTATAGCTGACATGCAATTTTACGTTCAAAAAGAAATACCGGTATCTCCAGGGTTGCGTACAATTTCTGAAGACTAAAAGTTTGTTTCGCCGAAATGCAGGCAGGGTTTTCGCTTCTACGCAACCCACTGCTGGGACATTGTGTTTTAGCTTGCTTGCTGTAGTCTATGCAGCCAGAGATCTAGAAATGGAAGGTTTAGCCTTTGCTATTGGAAATGCAGTCTTCTTGGCAGCTTATGTGGTCACGAGTCTACGTTGCTCTAGAATAAGCAGTCTGTCAAAGTGAACCACTTTCAGGGTATATACAGCTGCTTTCGAAGCAATTGATTTTTTGCGGGCTCAATATTTCGCGATTTAGGTCAAAGCTGATGTTTTGGAATAATTGGCGGGTTCTAATTTTCGCGAGGCGGTGGGATCTCAATATAAATTCCAATGTGTTCACATTTCACTGCGATGTTCGCGGGGCCTACTTTTCGCGAATTGTAGGCGATTTGCGACATTTGCAAAAATGATGTTTCCACAAAAATTAAGTTGTTTACAGTCAGCCTAAAGGCATTCGAATCTCGTTCTCAAGAGTTGTGTTTTCATTATATTTTTTCGAGTTTGCATTTCTCAAAAACTTGACATGTTCACTGTATTCTGAAGGAAACAACCCTCAGCATAAGTAATTGAACATAAATTTTATATAAACCTGAGAGCACTCTCTAACAGTGCTATATAATCTCAGGCCTGTGAGAAAGCAGTTCTTTCGACAACTGCCGCCCAAAGGCACTAGTGCAAGCTGTTAGAATTTTTTTTATGAACAATTAAATTGAGGTGTTGGATGGTTGGTTTTAACCCAATCCCAACAAAAATGCACTGAATCCTTGTGACAGTGTTATGCATTACAAGTTCTGTAATGTAGACTTACTATCTTTTGGAAGCTCTTTACACGTTAGGTTATGACCAGGCAATAACAGTGAAAAGGGAGCGACTACTACGCATAGTGCTTGCTATTTATGCAACATCATCTAGAGTGCGAAATGGTGATAGTAGCTGATACAAGCAGCATGTATGTAAACCAGGGTGCCTTCACTGATGTAGCTGGGTACTTTTAGGTGTATACTAATAACTAAATGCCTCATGCATGAAACGCATGCAGTCTTGTTTATTAATCGTATCCCATAATTTCTATGCACATGCTCGAGGCACCCTCAATTGATCAGATTTGTTGCGACATAATGTGCCAGAATGCAATATGCACTGTAGCAAGTTTTACCTAATGCTATGCCCGACATTCCAGCAGCTTGCAACTTGAAAAAGCTGCAAAGGCAATACTCATTCCTGTGGATCTTTACATCCAACCAAGAGTTAGTTGTGACATCTTCTGCACAACTTGCGGTAAAATGTGCTATGGCTTTTCCATTGCAACTGCTGCCATTTAACTTTTGTTGATTGTTCAATGGGAAGTCTGTTTCTGACAACAGCTGTGTATGCTTGTTGGTTTACCCCCGCTCCCCCTTTTGTGAAGCGATCTTACTAATTTAGTAAAATATGCTACATTATACCCTGCTGTGTAGTCTCATTCCTTCTTGAAGACTCCCTCTCGTCTTTTGTGTGCAAGCCGTGACTGAAGCTTGTTGGGTTTCCCGTGCCACTACTTCACCAAACAGGATTACACAACCCACCCGATCGATTGACTTCTGGAGGCCTATTCTAGCTTTCTTGAAAAGCTCGGATGCGAAGGGTGAGAAATGCAAGAAGCTTCAGGCCATCATTGAGGGAACGCTTGACCTTCTGATTAAGATGAAATATGTGAAGGAGACCTCTAACACGGTTTTAGCAACTTTGCGGAAGCTGGAGTTGGTAAGACACAGTCGTGTGCAATGTGTGTTCATTGTTTGTTGTGCAGCTTGGAACTGTCTTTACGGGATGGGCAAGGGACGACGTTGGCTACAGCAAGGACATATCTAGTATGCTAGATCTTGTAGACGAGGACCGACGGTGCGAGCTCATTTTGACCTTCCAGTCACACCGCACAGTCACACACTAGAATCTAAAATGGCAATAACCTGGCCTGCCATGACAATGATGAAGTGAAATAAACGGAATAAGAGGAAACAAAAACTGAAGGCCGGTAATGGCGCCGCCCATGAACAGCTGATTTAAAGTGTCTATAGGCTGAGCAGGTACCAAACACCAAGGTCCGACATGTTGATACCATAGCACAAAAAGAACAAGACAACGCAAACTCTGTTTGAGACAGCCATTTCGCGCTCGGCACCCCAATTTTGGGTCTGTTTCAAGATGTTCGCTCTCTTTCAGCTTGTCTGCATTTTTGTCATTAATTCAGACATCCAAGCTTCATTTTTCATTCCAGCAGGCACCATGAAAAGCAACATCCCGAAAGAAAAAAGAACAACCTTTTAGTAAGACATCTGCTCAATTGTGATCCTGTTTCCCGGCAGATTCCTTCTCAGAGTGTTTCCAACAAGCTTCAACCGCTTTGCTTTTGTGCAACGTTTAGTAGTAAGAAGTATGCGAGTGGACCGTTTCCAATATACAAGGACAAAAGAACCAATGAAATACCAAAAATAGGGTCGGCGCATGTTTACCCGTACCCATCCAACAACAAACAGGTTCCATTGAGAACAGACGAAATCAGCTTGCTTGTTACGATGGCATGTATTTACAAGGTGCAGCAAAGAACAGGGATCCAAGCTGAGTTGCGTCTTACTCGTCGGCCATTTCTATGTCTTTTGGCTGGGACTCCAGCGCCGCTGCCGCCTTCTTGGCCGCCTTGGCTTCCTTCCTCTGCTCTGGAGTCTTCTTGAGACCCTTCAGCTTTCTCGTCTGCAATTGACCAAAGTCCTGCCTCTCCATGTGGATGCGTCCCAGTGTGCTTCCCAAGGCAGTCTTCTCGACGTTCTTCTTCTTAGTCACCTGGAACACAAGAGCAAAGATGTAAAAGAGCACTCCTTCCGATTTCAATATGGATCTTGCATTCTAGAAGTAGCGATCAGTAGTTGTGATGACTATACACGGCTGATGCAGAATCCTCAGGTTGGGCAAACGGGGGAAGGAAACAGTTTAGAACCAACATGGGACACAATGCTGATTAAAAAGGAATGGTAAGGTTCCTGACAAATCTACTCATTGCTTAACCACTCCAGCCAATAACAAGCATTTTTGTTTGCCTGGAAAATTGAAAGATTCTGTTTTGCACAACGCAAGCGAGCCAAAGTGTTTGTCACGGGACAAGTGAACACAATCTCGCTCGTTTGCGAAGCGTACGGTTACTGTAAAACCCTTAATGTTTGCGAGCCCTTGATTTTCGTGAATTACGCGAATTGAAAAATTCGGGATATTTAAGGGCACGTGAAAATTTCAGTCCTTAAGAGTTTCAATGCAGGCGTCCGGGATTTGCAAAATTTAGTGGCTGCGAATATGTCCCCTGTGACCCATTTGCAATAAATAGGGGCCACGAAAATGAGGGGTTTTTCAGTACTTGTCTTGCGACTTCTTCCGATTAATAAAGCCAGTGCATGTGCCACAAGGCAAGTCACCATCATAAGCGGGCACGGTCAAGCTATAAATGATGTTATACAATGGTGATGCGCCATAGCGTCGAAAGGCCTAAAGGGCTACTAGAACAAAAATAAATAACAAGGTAAGGGGTTCTGAATCAGCCCACAACTGCCAGTACCTTGTTTTGCTTAGGCTGTCTCCTGGCTGTCTTGAACAGGTCATCCGAAGCAATCTTTGTCCGTCTCAAAGAAAAGTCGAGGTGAGGACCCATCTCCTCAAGTTCTACCCTTGGCAACTTGGTACCAGACTTCTTCATGAGCACCCTGCAATATAGGAACAAAAATTCAGAATTCAAACAATGCCCACCTCAGATAGAGCTTCTCTCTGTGGTCCACACCTCCTCTTGGTATGGATACAGCAAAGCACTTATTTTGATTTTTATAAAAAAACACACAAAAAAACAAAGCAGTGCTAGAACAGAATGTACGATGTGCTGCAATATTTATCTGAAATCCACTTTATAAAGAAACTTCTTAAGTGTTTTTACTACTGCAGCAACCTCAAAGATAATAGGCACAACAAACAAATGTTCCTAGGTGATTGGAGTTTCTCGAAAACAGAGTGACAGCTTGGCTCTGAACCAAAATGGCCCCTGGGCTACCAGGGGCCAAAATGGGGCCACCGCTAAAATGTCCCACACACAAAGAGGCTTGAAGGGTCGTTTACACGTTGTGTTCGAGTGCAACTGCAACCTCTTGCGCCTCGTTCTGCTTGCATCGAGCTGTTGCTACGGTGACACTTGCAACGAGCCAATGGGGAGGCGCTGTGCTGCACAATGCAACGCAGTGCATCTTGGTCAACGCAAATGTGTGGACCAGCCTTAAAACTTCAGATAGCATCTTCAATTTGCTTTCAGTCGCCAATGCAAAAGCCAGAAGAAACAGGTCTGTGTTATCGCCTTATTTATCTAGTTTCACTTCGGGCACAGTAAAAGGGTCAAGAAAGTTTTTTTTTTTTTTAAGCGAAAGCATTTACTGTTTTATTGCGTGAACAACGTCATGAGCTTTGAAGCCACACCAAATGGCACCTTCCCCTGTCCCAATGTCGTCTGTAGCAGAAATCTGATGGATAGGCTCCCATCGGTTGGCGCGCGTCAAGGAACGAGGCTCCCATTGGCTCTCGTGCGGCGTAGTTCAAAGGGATGCCACCAGAGAAGCCCTCTCTATGGCGGCACAGCGCATGCAGCAGCTCGGCCGCCGGTAAGAGGGAGCAGTGGCCGCACAGCCCACTCAGGCAAACCCCGGAGAGGCTGTACGGCCGAGCTCAGTGTGGCGCGGCCACTTCACGAGTGCACTCCCGACCGTTGGCCGTTACCTCGGCAGTACCGAAATATGGCCGTCCACGCCACTACGCCGCAGACGAATTAAGCGAGTGGAAGAATGACATTCATTATCTCGCATTCAGAACTCATAAGAAGTGCTTAGGTGTCCTCGGACTTTTTCTAAATTCTGAGATACTTGTCTATTTGGAATTTTTATCCTTTATAATGTAACCCACGTTCAATCGTTTCATCGTCGAAATTTATTTACTAGCGTAGAAAACATAACTTTCATTTCCCGGGGAGCTTCCTTCCGAGTTCTACAAACATGTCGCAATAAGTAGTCAATGGGAAAATTTTGTTGTCTGAGCAAGTTGCCGACATAAACTGGACTTGATAGGCGAAGCCAGAGCATCAGATATAGCTCCAACAGCGGTGCCATAATGATGTCCCGCACGCAAGTCAACGATCATGCTCAGATCAGCAAGATTTGGTGACAGCTTAAGTGTTCAGGGGAAGCTTCACCCTCCTCTTTCCACTTTAGCAGAGCGAACGCTGGAGAGCATGTTGTCCCCTTCCAGCGTTCGCTCTACTAATGTGGAAAGGGGTGGGAGGAGCTTCCACTTCACTCCTAACCTATCACCGACTATATTACACTGCAATTGGCTTCTATGCTTCAAGCTGTACGCCGATACCGTGAGGTAATAGTTTGTGCTACCGTATGTCGTGCTACAGAGCAAAGGTATAGGGAATCGTTTGCAACTTCGATCGGTAGAGCCGCGTCCCGATACGATTGTTGAATGATGAGCTACAAATATGTTCTCACTTCGACCAGAAAATTGCTAACCCGCTCGCAGAAAAAGGGCGAGAAGGCTGGAAATATAAGCAAATTGAATCACTTTTACATACCTGAGAAACAGCATGTCAAGTTACTGCTGATGTAGATCGTGGTAAAGGAATATTTACAGAAAACTCATGACCATAAAGCCAGTCATGGGAAAAAACACCATGTCCTAAGACTACACCAGTGAAAATAAACGGCCCAAGCCGGATGTGCTGATAGTCAACAGGTTCTGTGCACACGTCCCTCCTTGCAACTGATATTCACAAAGTTATGGGTTCAAATCCTCCTGGGATCGTAATTTTCTATTGCTTTGCCTTATGTTTTATTGCAATTCTAGTTCATAATCGGGCTCCACAACCGTATTCCACAGCAAATGCAAGCCGTGGCGGGACGAGCAGCGTGGTTACGATTGTTACCAAACGACACAACACCCAAACGTGTTTGAAACCGAAACTGCATCGCAATCACAAGATGTAGAGACGCACAACTAATATAAGAACGCCAATAAATAACTCATTTTCTTATCGCTCCCAATTTATTATTTGAAGATGAAATAAAGTATTATATCTGTTCAACCTTTTTACTTAGCTATTTCAACGTTTTGTTGCTCATGCTGCAGTAAAATGTCACATGGTCGTTTCAGGCAGTCAAAAATAACTGCACGGTTTTGTAAAATGCAGACAATATTTCACTGGAATACTTAGCAACCAATGTCTTTGTGGTTTAATGAATGGAAGGAAACTGAAATCTGGCAGATACATTTTCTTCATATGACCCCTTTAACAGCAGCATGAAACACTTACAGGTACAGACAACTCAATTACAGTCATGCCCAATATTCCAAAACAAGATGAATATGTAAGCAAACGGCTCTTGGTTGAGAATATGTATGTTCAAGGTTTTTTCATTTGACAGGAGTAACTAAATACTTCTGTCACCTAATTGATGAGATTTTAATTGGGCAACAAAATAATTGAGATAAAAAAGGCACAATAATGGTATAGTATATTTGAACCCCCCACTTCTTCACTTGTGGCCAGCATCCTAACTAGATTCTTTTTCAGTACATAAAAAGTGATTGCAAATGGCTACAACAAACATGTATCCATCTATATTTAATTTACTTCAATCGCCGCATGGCACACCATCAGTTAGTTGCCAGGTGCTTTCAATTTTGTGTACAAGTCAGAACACTGAATTTGAAAGCCGCAGAAAGTACTTGACTTAGTAAGTTTCAGTATGGCAAGCATCTGCAGCGAGCAACGTTCATAGGATGCTCAGACAAAGCTTTACCTGTAGCTTCGCAGCAGGACTTTATCCTCCACAGCGGTAAACATGATGACGTGCTCCAGACCCTGTAGACTGACCGCCTCTGCCACGGGACCCTTGAAAAAGTCTGCGGAGGTTGATCAACAAGACAAAGCTGTTCTCAAACATTTGACTACTTGAAGACAGTAAATTGCTGCTCTAGTTTGGAGGAACCAGCGCAGCGGTTTTTGTCTGGCCTCTCTAAAATTGTGGGTTGTCAGCATTAAAGGGACACTGACAGCGTATTATACTCACCAAGGTTTTTATTTGTACATGGCATATGAGACTGCAACTACCCAGAACACCATTTATGTCTCGAAATTCATTTTCTTTCCACCGAAGACCGCCGATCGAGAAGTGGTTGGTATGAGTCGCGCTCACTTTCTCCGCCATGGTCACATGCCGTTTTCTATGGTTCAGACACAACTACCAAAGATAATCAAAGTCGAGGGTCGTCAAAAACGCAAAAGATATGATACCCATTTTTATGGCTTTTAAAAAACTGCCAATACGTTGATTGGGGAAAAAAAAAAAATGTTGCACAGCTACGTGACTTTCAGTAACTTTCTCCTCCTCTATATTTCTTCTTCCTCCCCAGTTCGGTTTCAGTTTTGAGCAGTTGCGTTTTTTTACTTTATTAAAAATATATGTGTCGATGTAGCAAAATATTGATTGGGTAGTCTTCTGACACCATAATAAATCGCCTGGCAAAAAATAAAAAAAATTTTTTTGCGGGTGTTAGTGTCCCTTTAATGTAATTTCATAATAATAATATATACAGAAGACTGTTGTTCAGAGCTTCTGAAGTGATAAATTCAAGAGATTTAAAATTTATGCATTCAACAAGTTTGATGGCTATCTGGCATGAAACTTATATGTAAATTGATATCACATTTCTTTTGACATTGACCAGCAAAACAGTAATTATGCTATCATTCCGCTGCATCTGTTATTTTGTATATCGACTGAGGATTTAGCAATAGTTTGTATCGGTCTCATATTCACAAGAGCAACCTGAAATATTGCATCCGATATGGCATGGAAAATTTGGTTAACATTTTATAAACATTCGCCACCCAGAAACATTCATTTAAAACAGTGTGATGATGTCCAACCTGTTTCAGAAGGCTTGTGACAATCCATATTAATCAAACCATTGAAACGTTACCGGGGAGATACAAGGCCTAGACCCACGTACCAATGAAATAGTTTTTCAACCGTTCCAGCTCCTTGTTCTGCTCAAACTGTTCGCCAGCAAATACAAGCATTGGTTTGGTTCCTACTGGTACCTTTGGCCCCTGTAGAAAAATGCTGGATAGTAAAATACACTCCCAAGCAAAGCATTGCAAACAGTCGAATACAGTGAGCAAACAAATAAGTTTCCTCTCAATGACTGAGATAAAAGAATTCCTGAATATAAACAAAACCATGAGCTAAAAATTAAAGTTCCTATCATGTTTGAGAAGTATATATCCAATTTACACAACGAACAGTGGTATGCATGTAATCTCTTATGCAAATTCAAATCATTGAAATGCTTCCGAACTGCTAGGGCATGGTCAACAAATGTTTCATTACCAGAGGCGGACTTAGAGGGGGGGTCCGAATGTCCTGACCCCCCCTTGAATTCTGCATGTGTTAAATTTAGGGTGTGAAACGAGAGAGAGGGGGAGGGGGTTCCTAAACAAATGGTACGCTGACCAACACCTGACCCCCCCCCCCCCCCCCCTCAGGAAACTCCAGCATCCGCCCCTGTTCATTACACCACCACAGGGGGCTGAGGAATTTAGAAAGAGGAGCCGTTACAATGTCATACCTGTGAGGAGTGCAGATAATTTTACTACATGCTCAAAAAAAAATGTGTCAACTTTTAAAAGCACTTGGAAGAGCTGCACAAGCATCGAACTAGTTTAAAAAGCAAAGACTGTTAAAATGATGGCGTAGTCACCTCCGAGACAATAATGACAATATCGTGCACATGCAGCAAACCCAGTGAAATTGGTCGACTGCACGCCTAACATACAAAGAGACAAAACAGCTACCTTGAAATCTTCTAAAGACTTGAAACTGTCCATTCCAAGCTCAAACATGTCCAACAGGTGTCCATTGAAAGTTCGGCCAAAAACGAGATTGTTTGGCCTCTTCTTGGAGTGTGAGCCAAACACAAAGTGTGAGGCATCACTCTTCTTAGACATGAATTCCTGAAGTAAAAAAGAAAATAGTTTTTGGTAAGCTAGGCAGTCTAAACACTTCATGCTTTCTGCAAAGTAGTTGTTACAAGATTTGGTTGTCAAAACAAGGAAAATTTATTGGATATGAAATATGTTTTAATGAAATAACATAGAAGTGATCTGAATGAAAATGCAAGTATCTTAGTTTGCCATATAAAAGGGTAAAGTAGTAAGGCTCCACGAGGAGTCACACTTTGTTAACCACAGTTTTGGAGGTGAAAACAAGCATAATTGTTTAGGCAGTGTCTATTCTCCTGGCAGCCGGGAAAATAACTTCCCGAAATTCAACCGGCATTCGCCTCCCATTGGCTGTCTGAAATCATGTGTGACAACTGCCGGTAGAATACGGACTCCCTTATTCTCCCAATATTTCGTGGAAACACGTTTCATGGACGCATCCGCTAAAACGTCATTCACAGCGAATTAGCGAACAGCGACGTTTTAAAGGGGACGCGTGCTAAACCACCCCCCGACGGTGAGCTTACGTTGCTTTGCAGTGGCAGTCTGTGGCGGCTCATTACAAAAATGTTAACCTACCTGGGCCCACCCGTACACGCCGCTTCAACAAAAATGTTAACCACCTGGGCCTACCCATATACGCCGCATCGAGGCAACAGTCTGGGGCGGCTCATTAGAGAAAAAAGCTAATCTGAGCTGTCCATGGGCCAATGGGAGGCAACTGCCGGTACAATTTCGGGGAAATTATTCTCCTGGCTGCCGGGAAATTAACTACTAACTGTTTAAGAGTAAAATAACAGTTAAGGTGATTCTTTAGAGCGTGCACATGCTGTAACGAGTCCGACAGAAAACACTTGGCCAGGCCAAAGAGCCCCAATGAAACGAACGTGAAATCTGACTGAAACCCGACGGAAAACATTAAAATTAGGCAACTAATCCTTACAATAGGAGTCTGGTCCTCGAATGGCTTCACTTCGTTCTTTCTGTAAATAAAGAAAAATAAATTAGAAGCCAAGCAAAGCAAAACGAGCGCCTGTAGTCAAGTTTCGTATTGCCGCTTGAGAAGTTCGCTTACTTGTTGAAGAAGACTGAGTGGGGTCTCTTGACGGAACACTGAAACAAATATCAAAGTTAAGTTACGGTGATATTAATTCGGCTAAGGCTATCGAATATTTCAGGAGCTAGACCAATGGGGACGTCGGGTAAACTCACCATATTCTTCATGGCTTTGATGACGTTGCTGTTGGCATTTGAGCCGCGAATAAATATCGTCGTTTTTGTGTTTTCAACCAGTTTGGACTCACGATTCTGAAGGAAGCGTTTTCCTCTTTGTGTCCGAGGTTTGCTGGGGGACAGATCATAATATCAGAACCGTTAAAACAATCCACATGAAGACGCCAAACACGATCTGACACTGTCACCATGGACCGGTTCAACAGTGCTCGTAAACACAACAGAATTAACGCAAGTTTGAACTAACAAAGTGAAAATGTATATAACACGCCCGAGACATAGATACGCGGCATCAAAGCGATATTTATAAAAAGAAATTAAGAAAGGCTTACACAACACCGGGAATTACTGCCATCTTGCAACGCAAAGCACGTGTTCCGTGGATTGGATTGGATCTGAGTGGCCGTTCATTACATTTGAATTTTAAGGTTTCCAGACGAATTAAGAAAATGCATAAATTACCGTGAAGAAAACCTGTACCCGCACACCCGTGGTCCGTACTTAGGCAACGGAATCAGTAAAGAATTTGAGAGAATTGTGGTAGACCGTTTCCAAAGAGCACATGTTGGATGTCCTTTTCCAAAGAGCACATGGTGGATGTCGCTAACGCCTCGTTTGTAATGCCCGTCTAGGAACCTTGACAGGTAGTGACGATGCTTGTCTCGTTTCCGGGCACGACGAGAGAAGAGGGGAAGGAGGAACTCCCCTCTTCCTGAGAATCCCTTTTGTGTGACCCAGAAGTCACTATTCTCCCTCAACAAGATTATAGAAGATTAACCCGTCACTCTAAATTCGTACAAAGGCAGCCGCTTCGGTGGCTGGAACGACTAGGCCATCCTCTCGACGTCAGCCTCACCATAGCTTTGCTCGTCCCGAGACAAACTATGCCACGATTGCGGTGGGTGTTACGTCTTCTCTGCTGGCAGCTCTACGAGCGTTTACCAAAGTGGGCTGTTTATAGCGAAACATACAGCCGTTAGGCTCAAGATACAAACGTGCGATTGTCATTTACGGATATTGTGGATCATGTTCAATCTATTTTTGAACACGACGGGCATATTTCAAATTTCGTTGAAGTATCCCTTTAATCGACCATTTTGGCGGTTTCAGAAACGCCAAACCAAGTCTCCCAAGCGAACGCGCCTTGAATTACTTCCGAAATTAGGATGCACCCAACGCGGGACGTGCTACCTAAGAAAAAACTTAATTGTGCCACAAAACCTTGTAAACTATAAAGATTTTATAAAACATCACGGACCTAATCTCCAATGTTCCTAGAGAAAGTGTTTTTTTGTTTGTTTTTACGTAAAAAACATGCTTTCTGAAAGCTCAAGGTGACCATAGTTAAGAAAAACGATTAAGCCACCATCTTGGCACCTCGAACCTGGGAGTTTCGCAAGGAGGTTATAGTACTAGGAGGGGGGCACGTTGCAATATAGGTGAAGCCTAGTCACGATGTTGTGGCCAACGTGACCATAGATCTCCCTGGCAATTGGTGTGCGTGACACGTCACGTGTGAGATGGATGGTTGATTGTAGAAGGATTCCTTGCAGACTTGCATGCGCTCCGGCCGGTAGGTTTTACCAGATCGAAGGCTAGCTACGGTCATGTGATGTGGTCACATTTGCCTGATAAGTGAGGAGAGTAAGGAGGAAAATGAGAAAGAGGCAAGGCGTCAAGGGAGCATGGCTTGTGGAGGTTACACGGCTGACGTCCTGCCCTCCCCTACCCTTCTATCCTCTTTGGAGTTTTGGTACTTTGGGAACATTCAGTGACCTTGGCAGTAGCCATATAAGGCAACTTTCATGTTTCAACTCGACGCTAAAGGGTGGCGCTGTTATCATATTTAGCTTAGAGTAACTGTATATGCTTCGCTTGCGGCTCTGCAAGCAGAGCCTATATTACATTACTCTAATTTAGCTCGGTCTCAGTGGATGCCAGTGGCCCAGGTTTCAACGGCGAGTTTTTCAACCGAGTGCTTTAGTAACGTTGCTGAACAGCAACGTTACTAACCAAACCAGTGTCTGCACTGTTTCATGGGTGCCGCCGTATTTGTTTATGCCGACTCCATGAGTTGTGCTTTGTGTATGTTTATACAATATTGGTGTATACCACGACCACGGTTTATACAGCCTGAAGTTAGTCTGTCTTAACTGGCAACTTGTCTCTCAGCCGTAAATGAGCAATTTAGCCAGTACAACCGCTAGCCTAGGGCCTTTAACGTGCACCATGCAGTAGTGATGCACGACTGCACGATGCTCGTCCAGATCGAAACGGGCAAAGGTGGGGAGTGAACCCAGGATCCCCGAGTTCTGCAGCGCGAGCTTTTGCTCCACGTGCTCCAGCAGGAGTGCATTAGCCTACTCGGTCATCGATCCCTCTGCTGTCGACTCCATGACACAGAAGGGGGGGCTGCGCTTTTTGCAAGACAGTTTTTCTAGGAACCTTTGCACATATTGTAGTGCAGGAACATCAGAAATGCATTGTTACAAATTAAGCGAACTATATACGGCGGGCAAAGTAACTAAAACATTCATTTACACTTCACCCGTGACACCCGCGATTGCGGCCTTCGCGAGTGAAACCTGTTCAGCTTTTAGCTGAGAGCGCGTGACTATGTTCGAAAAGGTAGAAGACGAGAAAAAGAAATCTCGGCGACGTGACAAAGCAAGAGAGAAAGAAGAAGATTGAGGACAGACATTGATGCTGAACGGGCGGAACACAAGACTGATCGCGAACGGAACGGGCGGAACGCCACAGTGATCAGCGAACGGAACGCCAGCTGAACGCCAAACAGTGAACGGAACGAACGGAACGCCTGTTGATCGTCCGACAGTGAACGGAACGAGCTGAACGCCAGCGAAAGGCAAGCAATCGGATCGAACAGGACGGATCGAACCAGACGAACGCCATGAACTGACTGAGAATCTTCAACTGTAAATATTTATACGTTTAATTTATCAGTGTAAATACAGTTTTCGTTTTCTTCTAAAGTTATCGGCCATTATTATAACGACGACACCCACTCGCTCTTTAATTCTGAAACATGCATAGTCATGAAGCTCCAAGAGCAGCACCGATGCCAAGAGCCTGCATTTGGATTTCGGAGACTGGTCTAAAATTCATTCCTATTAATTATCTGCAACGGACTATCAGGGCTTCCGTATTTGTTCTGCCCAGCAAGATGTGCAGTTAGGCAAAGAATGAGAGAAACAAAAGCTAAATGTCTTCACGTGACTTGTGTCCTGAAACAGCTCTTCCAAAATTCCTTATGCCAAATAAGAAAGCACGAAAAGTGGAACGTTTTATTTTATTTAAATATCAAAACTTGCAAAAAGTAACGCACCATAACACGTTTTAGGGAAAGATGATCTTGCGGCTCATAAGGCTACATAATCGTTCCCAGGCGAGCCTTCTGAAGCTTGGAGTAGCCCATGTCTGTCTTCTCAACCTTGTAGAAATACTCTGCCACCGAAATCCTTTGGCTCAGAAGGCGAAGAAACTCTTCGTCATGCGTGATGACAATCATCTGGAAGTTGCGCTGGCGCATCCTGGCCTCTACTATCTTCGCCAGAGAAAGCGCCAGGCCCTTTATGTTGCTCCGGTCTAGGTTGGTTGTAGGCTCGTCGAGTGCCAGGATCCCACAGCTCTGGCAAAAGGTTTCGGCCAATGCCAATCGAATGATGAGGGACGCCAGCACCTTCTGGCCTGCGCTGCAGCGGCCTCTCATGTCCTGTTCAATTCTTCCTTTCATCATCACGACACGGTAGTTGTAGGCTCTTCTAGAATTCTCCAAGCCCTTTTCATCCGCATCTGTCCGGATTTGGACATAGTCAATGTCATCCCCGCTGTAGGTGTCCTGCCAAAGCTGCTTGATGACTTTGTTGATGTCCTTCATTTTCTGTTCATGGTACTTGAGAACAGCAAAGTTGACTGCCCTGTAATACATGTCCAGGTCCTTGCTGATATAATCCTTCACACTTTTCTCACAAAGAGCTGTCATATACTTCTTTTTAGCATCCTTGAAATGACCACTCAGCTCTCGTCTCGCTGCATCAATCTTAACCTTGAGTTCTCCTTTCTTGCTCTCCGAGAAGTTCCTGTCACCTCGAAGCTTGTTGATTTTCTCGCCAATCTTTTTCTTTTCCGATTCCAAATTGACAAGGCCCGAGCTTCTCATCTGATTCTTGATTTCATCAATCTTCACTTTGTGCTGCTCGCTCTGCACTTGAAGCATATGCAGGTGAAGGTTATCCTTCAGCTCACGCTCCCTCAGCTCTTGCCTAGACAGCTTCTTTTCCAGAGTGTCGATGAGTGCTGTTTTTTCGTCTCTAACCAGCTGAAGATGTTCAATTTCCCCTTTGAGGTCATCCAGCTTTTTTCTTACATCCTGCAGCTCTTCAGGATTATTGCTCTGGAAGTATTCCTGAACCTTGTCGAAGTGCTTCTTCAGGTCCTCCCGTTCGAGTACTCGTACACTTAGTTCCGACCGCAAATCCTCTAACAAACGCCGAGTTTCGTTGACAGCACTCTCCTTGGCCCAGACTGCCTTTTGAAGTTCCTTCTGAAGTTCTTCCTTCTCCTTCATCAGTGGGTCAAGAAACAATTTGAGGTTCTCACTTTCCGATTCCAGCTCCGTCTTCTGTTTCCTGAGACGAGACTCTTCCTTCTTCTTGGATTCTAGCTGCAGCTTCTTACTGCGAGCAGCATTCAGAGACATTCCCAAGCTGTGGTATTGGTCCTGCTTTGCACGGTAATCAAGCATGGTTGACTCCAGCTCTCTTGCCTGACCATTGAGGTCTCGAATCTCTGCCATAATGTTTTCCATGGTTCGACCTTGCTTGAGTCGTTGGACATTTGGAGATTTGCTGTCTAGCTGACGGCGAAGCACATCTCTTTCCCGAGACAGCCGATCCATTGTCTCGGCTTCGCCCAAGAGAGACCGGGCCATCTCCAAATCAAAGATCTTCATGTCAAGTTGCTCTTCCTTGCTTGCTTTTAAGCTGATCAACCTGTCACGCTCGGTTGTTGCATTGAGAATTTTCGCCTTCACCTCGGGCAACTCATTGTTCTTCAGCTTCGACATCTTCTCTTCTTCTCCCTTTAACCTTTGCATGTCGTTGAACTTGTGTTCTCTGTCATCAATTTCTCTGGTCTTTTTGTTCAGCTCTTCAGGAAGAATTCTCATCTTTTTTTCCAGATCTTCAATAAGCCTGTTGACTAACTCCAGCTCTTCGAAGTGCCTCTTGCACAGAGGACAGCAGGGGGTCTGTCTCATGCGTTCAATGTACTTCCGAAACATGAATGCGCTTCCTGTGATGAAGCCCTTCTCGTCACGCATTTTCGTCATCTCGAGCTTCAACTGCTGGATGCTGGCATCCAAGTTTTCCGAACCACACACACTGACAACCTTCTTTCTGCTTTTATCAAGCTCCTTTTCTTTTTTCTTGAGATCATCTTCCAGCATTTTTAGCTTCGTTTCCAGGGAGCTTTCCGTCGTCCGCAACTTGGTGACACTGTCGCGAAGTGAACTCACTTCGGAGCCGAGGGATGAAATTTTTTCGTTTACTTGTTTAGCATAATCTGAGGCCGGAAAAGTTCCCAGGAGCTCCATGAACTTGTGCTCACTTTCAACTTTAGCTTGCTCGAGCGACTTAATCTTTTCACTCAACTCTTGCCTAATGTGCTCAAGCTCAGACTGCTCTTTGCTGAACTTCTGTGCACTTGCGAGCTCCCTGTTGAGGTTTTCCAGCTTATCAGTGATTTCGTCTTTCGATCTCTGCTTGTCCGCAATCTTGTCCTTGAGCTGGTCACTAGGAAGCTCCCTCTCCAGGGACGCAAGTTGATCCTCAAATTTTCCAATTTCTGCCTCGAGTTCCCTGATTTCAGAACAATAACCTTCAGCTTGCAGCAGTTCTTTACGAATCACCATGATCTTTTTTTGGTTGTCGGCAATTTGCTTCTGCGTCGACTCCCGCTTCTGCTCAGATTTGGATTTCCACTCTCGCACAGAGTCTATGCTGTCCTGCAGACTTTTCTCGTGAGCTTCACGCTTCTCCTTCGTCGTTTCAAAGTTGAGCTGAAGGTCACTCACCCTGTTGTCAAGGCAAGACACTACGAGAGATACCTTTTTCTCTAGCGAGTCCTCTCGGCATAGGGTAACTCCCAGAGACAGCTTCTGGTTCAAGCTCTCAGACTTTCGTTCCACTTTACGGGAGGTCTCCTCCACCGCTGTCCTCTCACTCTCCAGACGACCTAGAGCGGGCAGCAGCTTCTCCTGTTCTTCAGCTACATCGCTCATTTGCGAGCAAAGCTTTTGCAGTTCTTTCTTGTGCTTGTCGAGCGATGTCTTGTCCTCGAGCAGCTTGGACTCAAAGTTTTCAATGTCTTGCTTGAGCTCTTCAGTCGATCCTGGGTATACCTCCTTTAGGTTTCGGGTGATGCGCTGTATCTCATTCCTGGTGTAATCAAGTTGGTCTCTCTCCGAGGAGAGCTTGCTGTGGAAGTTACGCGCCTCGTCTTCCTTCTTCTCCATCTCTTTCCATTCGAGGTGCACTGGTTCGAGCTTGGTCTCTATGTCTTGCAGCGTCCCGATGCAGTCGGCGAGCTTCCTCTCATCCTTGGCGATCTCCTCTTCGTACTCGTCTGCCTTCTCCTTGTTGGCCTTGAGGTACTTTGTGCTCTCGCTGAGCAGCTTGATGCCCTGGTTGTACTCCAGCCGCAGCTTACGAATATTTTCGAGCGCCTTGATGTACTGTGTGGCGGCGAAGATGTTGTCGAATTTGGTCTTGAGTGTCTGGCCTTCCGACAGCGGCCAGTTGGAGTCAGTCTGGTGGCAGAAGATCACATTCTCCAAAATGGCGCGAGGAACGCCCAAGAGTTCGACGACGGTAGCGTTGATGTCGCAGCACTTAGAGGTGGCAGTCGTCTTGTTGCCCTCCTGGTCCCGATGGACGATATTTGCGTCGACCGTTTTAAAGGTCGTGTTGTTCTTGTTCTGTTTCAGTAGAAAGAGCCGATTCACAACGTACGGTTCGCCTCTGACGTCTTGAAACCTCAGCTTGATCGAGGCGTTGACCTCCGTCTCGTGGTTCAACTTCGGGTCGTGGATGAATACCTTGCCCTGGCCGGGGGGAAGGTCGCCCGTTGTCGCGTTGCGCAGGCATTCGATGATGGTCGTCTTGCCCGTACCGTTGCTGCCGAGGATGAGGGTCAGCGGAGAGAAAAACGACATCATCTGCTTGTTGGCGTCGGTCGGTCCGAAGCTCCGAATGCCTTGGATTTGCAACTTTTCTAGCATAGACATGGCGAGGCCGACAAGTCGCTCAACCGATCGAGATTTTCAGCAGCCGCTGCTACTTTCAAAAGCCTACTGGAGAGTTTTCTCTGTCATGTTTTTCCCGTACCAAATGGCGCCAAATTCGGGGAGTTCAGCGTGGAGTGGATATGGATGTGGATATGGATAGGGTGGCTTAAACGTTTGCCAGTGTTGCTTGTTGGAGACCGGCGACTAGAGAAAACTTCGGCGCGCACTTTATTGGATGAAATTTGGTGACGTCACAACCAATAGGAGCACGGAAACAGACGCTGTCTCCTCAACGCCCGGAGAAACATCGGAAACATCGTGCCTGACGAACCGTCGTCGAACGAAAGGTGAGATTTGGCGCCGCTGCCTACATTGTTTGAGCCTGCGTTCACGATTAAAACAACCATCGCAGAAAGCTGAAAGCCCGCCGAAGAACGGCTGACTTGCGAGCTAAACCTAATTCAACAAAACTATTTGATCCGACAGAATAAAGTGCTTGATCTTATTTCATGTCGACAAAGAACTGCGCTGCCTGTCTTCGTCCCTACATGTTTTATTCTTTCGTGTTTTTCAAATCTTTACCAACCCGCGTCCAATCGAATGCCCCGATCACAACAAATAGTTGGTCGTGCTCCGATGGCCCTTATCATCAGCCGGTAAGGCAGTTACGTTTTTCGTTTCTATATTTTGACCCAAGTAACGTCATATTCTCAAACTGAAATTCTATCACCACCTCTAGTGTTACATTCTGGTGCACCGTGCACTTGCAGCTTCCTGCACCCCTGCGAGGTTTCCTGCGATCGTACCTTGTATATGATGGATTTCTCGCCGCACGCGAGTGCTCGAAGGCGTGCTATACACTCTGTAACATAGGTTGTGTGCAGAAAAGGCACAGGCCCGAGCACAAAAGCGCCCTTTTTGCACGAGCAGCCGTGCAAAAAGAACAATTCTGCGGAGCTACGCCCTCGCACCCGTGCCTCTGCTGCACACAACTTATTAATAACCGAGCCGTTCTCGTTTTTGTTTTGCATATTACTGTGAAAGAAGTGTCATTGTTGTTTTCTTCTCAAACAAAACTCACACGCTAGACAAAAGCAAACAGATAGGAGTCTGCACATTCACACCCTTTTCTCCCTTGTGCGACAGGTTATAGCTGGTCGCGATTCAACACCGTTTCTTTTGAAGCTGATGGGCACCACAAGGCGTGAAAGAGGTGACTTGCAGCTTTGCCAAGGCAGCAGCAGGACACTACAAGCCTTCGCATTAACTGGCTAGCCAGTGCCGCTCTGTTCTGAACAGCACTGCGTGCCATGCAGAGGGTTTGTGCAAGCTCGCTGGGTGGCGACGCTAGCCACGGTAAGTGCATCCTATGCAGCTTTCTTTTAGGGATGTATATGGCTTGCAGGCCATGTCGTGCATGTGCCACCCGAGGGACAGCAGTGCCAGTGGCAAGGCTGTGCTGATGGTAATCACCACTGCACTGTGTTTTCATTCAATAATGGACTTGATGTCTGTGTTAACAATGCAACGAGACTTCTTTTTAGTTTGGGGCGTTGTTTCTGCTGCGAATGACTAGCGTTGCAGTAGAGAAATATACAAAATAGTGTAATGCTGGCATTAGTTACCTAAATTAATGGCGGGAATGACTGACCTACATTTCCACCGACTGCATTTCTCAGAGGAATAGCCTGGACTAGGTAGCTCGCTGCACTATGTCCTTCCTAGTTAGCCTGTACAACTCGGCGTCTTTTCCTGATTGTCTTATGTGGCTGCTTCTGTGTTTGCCTAGGCACTCGGTTGAAATAGTGAAAGCTGTCTGCATTGCACATAACTGCCATGAAAGCCAGTGTGGACGTAGCTGGGGTAGCCCCCAATATGGCTTCTCTAGCTCGACACAAGTAATGTTCCTACCACTGTCGTGTATGATGCCAATCCAAGATTGAAATATACTTGTGCTTTTCATTGCCGTGACGTCACGCAGGCACATAGCCAGGATTTTGTTTTTGGGGGCGGGGGGCGGCAGCGGCGGGGCGGGCCGGGCCGGGCTCCATGAACCCCCTCTAGTTACGTGCTTGTGTCACAGGATGACGGGCTCACGGTTCGAGCGGCTGTGTAGAAATGAACTATGCCGAGCATTTGTTTCGTGCTGCTGGGTGGGATTTGGGGCGACCTTCCAAAGCGTTCTTTTCACACCATGAAACTTGTTTGTGATCAGTTGTGAACAAAGTCTACAGCCCTAAGAGTGAACCTTTGCCTTCCCATGACGTCTCAATTTCAATGTTGCCAGTAGAGCTTTTCACTTTGAAAAACACAATGATGACCAAAATTGTAAATTCTGTGACTTTGCGAAAAAAAGCTATTTCGGCAAGATATTTCGGTTACTATTTCAGCGATGTTTGTTGATGTCTTTAGCAAGTTTTTAGGCAAATCGGGGACAATGAAGAAAATGCCGGAGTTCCCCTTTAAAACATAGAATGCACATAGTACACAATGGAGAAATTGCTTGCCAATCATTCTCTTAGGAGTGTGAGTCGAGCCCCTTCGAGGCAGTTTGCTGCTGCAGCGTGCACTTTAATCTGCCCGAGAAGAGAAAACGAGATGAATGACGAGTAGGATATCTTTGTTCCAAGGCTTCTTGAGACAGGAAAGGCTAGGGAACCAGTATTGTTGCTTCTTACTACCCGGTACGAGACTCAAACCCGACATGCAAGGAAGTCGAAAGGCCTCTTCATGTGCCCTGTTTCTGCTTCCTTGTGCTTTGAGTTTTAGCTGTGTCTACAATTCACGCTCGCCTGCATGCCTACTCTTTTGGTCTCTTTTTTGTTCACTGTGTTACTGAAGTTTTCTGTCCTTGCTGTCCCAGAATAGCATTGTGGATGCACAGAAATACAAGGTGCTCGACGCCTGCGGCTCTTTAATATTGCTTTTCCCGGTACCACGGCATGAGGGAGGTGGCCTCTCTCCCTTCCAAGCAGCTGCGATATACTACAAGCACTGGGTTACAACTGCAGCTAGCCCATGGGTACCGTTCTGCGTTCTGCGTCCTGCACTGCATGTAGTTCTGAGAGCCATGTGAAAAGGCAGGTGTGACCTTTTTAGGCACTGTCACTTTGTTTTGTGCATTTTCTGCCGCTTTTTCGGGGCAACTTCTTTTTAAGATTCAAATATTAGAAAACGGACTCAAGTGAGAGAGGGGGTTTTCTGAGAAGACTGGCTTCTTTGCTAAACCATTGGGACTGGTATTATATCTATAGAGTTCATGTACACCTTACATCATGTACTTTTTCTTTAGTTTTATTTTACTCGGTACTTATACTTCGATGTTACACGACAGCCACTAAAAATGAGGAAAAAACAAAAAAAAAATGTTGACTTGTCGGTTTTCTTATTTTGTTTTTTTGCAATATGTTGGAAGAGTAAATGATGTGGTCGGTCATTCATGTTATTTTTCCTACACGCACGTCCAGCCTATGTTTACATAAAGCCCCAATTGCCCCTTAGCAACGGAAATAATCTGTGCGACAGACTAGGCGGCAGCATTGTGGACGGAAACTGGCCTGATTATATCTGCCATGTTTAGAAACTACATTTGATGTCAGGTTATGAATTCATTAGCAAATTGTCCCCAAAAGAATCTACATCACTCTGCCAGTCAATCGCTGCCGTCAGTTGTCGTGACGTCACGTCCAGCAAAGAAACTACAAACTAGTATTCTTCTTTTTTTTTTTTAATGGCAGGCCTCTGCTGTTGATGCCACATAGCACGTCAACACTCAAGCAATTCTTCCGCTCTTGACCTCTCCGGTTTCACCTTGCGAAGTCGTGACGGTGTCTGCTTTTGTTTGCGGTATTTCCCATGTGTCGACGTGAGAAGGCAGCGGTTGTATCGCCAAGGAAGTAGCAATCAATCTGTGGATTTGCTCCAGCGGCACAGTGTTACAAACAGGGCTCTTTCACCAAAGGCAAAGTCTAACGACTCGCCCTACAGTTGCCAGCATCGTGCAGCCGTGAATGCGTAACTTGTCCGAACGCTTTTATGCTTTCGTCTGTGTACAGTGACAAAATGACTCGCTGAATGCGAAATGCCGTACTGCAAACTACAGTAGAGTCTCATTAATTCAAACTCCAGGAAGTCACAGATTTTAGTTTGAATTATCAGAAATTCATCTAAATATGATACTAGATGGCATTATGATTTGTTACATGGATAGCTACTCAGACAAAGCAGATTTTTGCCAGTTTCCTCTACATAGGCCTAATTATAAGTACAGGCATAACACATTAGTGAAAGAGCTGTGACATTAAGTTTATTCATCCGGCAAAAAATTTGTCGATTGTGGACTGTTTAGTCAGCACATACGATCTCAAAATAAAATTTTCAATACCAGCCAATGCAAGTAGCTCTTTACGGGACTCTTCCTTTGCAAACAGAAAGTTCCGGAGCTGAGCGATGTGCTCAAAGCTATGGCTGTGACAGTTGGTAGTGGGTCATCCCTTTCTTCATCGTCATCTTCACTCTCACTGCTGCACTTTGCTGGCATTACTTCCTGTACTATGTCCTCTAATGAGTCATCACGACAAACACACACATCATAGTCGAAACTAGCATATTCCGCCTGCTCGGCGTTCACATTATGTGCTTCAAGGCCAGAAATCATGATGCCAGTGAGCTGGTCCTCATCCTCAATGTCGTCTTGGTCATCATTGTTAGTCTTGAAGCACATAATGTGAACGCTGTTTTCTGCTAATGTGTGCCCGCTTGAGCCCCGTTGAGTGTGCTTCTTTATGAGCACCGGTGCACTGCGGAGAAACAACACTCATGAAAGCACGCTCCGCAGGTATTGCTTCTCTGCAGTGCACCGGTGCTCGGAGAGAAGCATACTCATCAGGGCCGCGAGTACAAAAGTATGAATTAAAGGAGTCATGGAACGCTTTTCCAACTTTTTCCTGTTTAGCTTTCCTCTTCAACTCATAAATCGCGCATTCTACCAAACATTTCAAGAAGATGGAAACGGGGCAGTCCCCTCTTGCTCGGACTCTCGTTTGAGTACCGGGACACAGCCATTGTCCCCCCAGAAGATTAGCCCGTCGCTCAAAATTCAGACAAAAGTTGCTTTCCCCACCTCAATTACCCCGAAGCTGACAGTGCTGCGG